GAAAGAGTAATTGGAAATTGGAATAAATTACAGATTATCTCTATTTTTATGGCTGCCATTTATTCAATTTGTTTAATGGCATTGCAATATGTGCAGTACAAGTCTGATCATTTTGTGTAATTTACTGTTATGAAAATACTTCTTGGTAATCCATTGCGTTGGGTAAGCTATATAGTTCGCAAGGAGGATTAATCCAAATCCAAATGATTCAAAAAATAATTAAGTTCGAATTTTAAAAGTAGGTATATCCGATTGAAAACAGACCTTAAGAAAGATTACAATAACATTTATTATTCCCCTCAGCATCTTTTCAAATATTAAAAATATAATAATAATTCATAGCGAACCAAAAATACATAAACTCCTTGAAAGAGAAGTTTGAAATAAGTGGTATAAATTGGCCATAATTTCAGAAGCCAAAATATTGACTCTGTTTTGCGTTAATAGAAAAACCAGTTTGAAGACTTCTCCTTCGATACAAAGGAAGGCCATGTCCTTGGCATATTTTTAAACCAATAATCGCCTCAGTGTGGGCCACAATTTACGGCGGAGTTGGACATTAACGATTCTCGGCTTAGACACATTGTGCCGCAAATTGTGGCCGCAATCCAGAATCCCAGTCGGAGGCCAGCCTTTTCAATTAAAAACTGGAAATAAATTGCGACCGCATCGGCGTAAATAAATATTGACATTTATGTTTAGCGGTGGCCCCTCCGAAGATTGCTTTGCCAATAATGTTGTGGCCCACAGAGGGAGAGAGATACATTCGTAGACTATAAAAAGCCTAATTAACACCTCTACCAACCCCTTCGATCGATCCTCTTCTTCGAGAGATCTTTAGTTAACCCATTGAAGGTGCATTAAAGAGGGTTTGCCACCAGATCGGTGGTTTGGCGGCTAATTTCTGGGTTAAATATGGGTGGGGAAAACGAAAAGAACAGCGTCATGGCCGGATGGTTGGCAATGAAAGCGAAATTTCAGAGACCGCCGAAAGAGGATTCCCAGACTGGGATGTACAAAAAAAATAGTGGGGAAAAAAAACATGCGTCGCCCGGAGTCGACATTCTTTTTAACAAGTTGCCCGCAGAGACCAGAAAAGGGCCTAGAAGCCAGTCAAAGTCAAGTTAAATACGCCCGCCGTGCGTCGTCGTCTTTGGGGGATGGGGATCGGGATGGGGATGGGGATGGTATGGGGGACTGGTCTTTTTGGCATGTCCGCTGGGCTGTGGACTCTCTGGTTCCCTGGTTGCCTAGTTCTCTGGACTCCAAGAGACCAGACCCAGGGCCAAGAAATATCAGAAGATCAAAGGCATTTTAACAGCCAGCGTCCAACGCAAACAATCAACACGGCCCAAAGAGCCAGAAGACAACCAGAGGACTTGGGATGTGGATGAGGATGAGGATGAGGATGAGGTTGGGTATCCGGATGAGGAGGAGGGTCAACGGCAACGGCAACGGCAACGGCAACGTGCCGGCTTAAGGCCCAAAACCTGTGCACTTAGTTGGAGGACACGTACAGGATAAATTAGCAAATATTTGTACTTTTCTTCGTTTTGTTCTGCCTTGCCTTGGCGATTTTATTTCTTATTTAAGCAAAAATTGCATTTAAATTGTTTCGTGCCTGGCAAAAGGTCGGCAATGTAACCTTGACATTTCCAGCCGATCATCGATGGCCATTTCTTTGCCACGGCAGCAAATAGAGTCCGCCAATGAGGCCATCGATAATGTCTCAATTATGTCAATGCGACACCAGTGACCAGCGACTTGCCCTCCGTTTAGGTGCCATCTCTTAACAAATCGAAGCGTATCGACTTGATCTCATTGGTTGCATGTGCATAAACAAAACAGCCAGGCAGCACACCATAAACAAGGGGGATACAATCCAAGCCAAAATAAAACAAAAAGGGAGAAAAATGTTAAGAAACAATACATCAGGCATAGTACGGTGCGTAGTGGCTGTAGCTACTACAAATAAGTCGGCGTCTCCAGTTCAGTTCCCCCATTGTGTTGGCACTAGGCAATAAAGAGATTTAGTAGCTCGTACCTCTGGCTATCCAGCATCCATCCAGCCTCCTGCTGCTCCAGCTCCTCCTGAATTCCTTTTCCTTTCCTTTTGGAGTACATGTCCTTCTGAGCGGTCAATGATTCGCATTCCCACTGGTAACTGCCACCGCCTGATTTGCATGCTTAACCTTTAAGCTCGTGCGGCATATTAATCTTATCAGAAACTTGTCAACAGTCAGCTAAAGTCAATCCGATCGAGCCGCTTCCCTGCTGACAAGATATATTCATTGTTCTCGGATATCTATTGTAATGTCTCACTCGCCTGTTCGCAAATATATCAATATAGAATTGTATTGAAAGGTTTAAGAACTGGGAAATAAGGGGATACCAATGTAGCCGGTCTTTAAATAATATTTTCTTCTTTACAACTCACAAGACTACGCGAAATCTTGTAAAAGTACATTTACCTTTTAACATAGTTCTTAGAAATCCCAAGCGACAAAGAGTTTTACACATTCTTTTTGTAGATATTTAACTATAAAGAGCTATCTTAAGACCCAACCTTAAAATAATGTAAATATGTTTAATATGAAATAATATTATAAAATTTGCAATAAAAGAAAGGCTCCAAAAAGAACTCCAATATCTTCAAGGACATTTCATAAATGTGAGGAATTTAGTTTATAGATTTTGTTGCCCTGTCATGTGATAATCTCCGGCTGAAATCTTAGAAACCGACCTTCAGGCAAAGCCAAGCTCTACAAAAAATTCCCAAGAAAGATATACCGAAACCCCTGCGGATTCCTGGGACCTCGCTCTAATGATTTCCTGCTTAGGATACCGGGGCTCACCTCACCCATAAACCCAAATATGCTGCCGCTTCCCAAGAGCTGTCCCCCTTGCCAATGATTAATGCGCCGATCCTTGTCCCGGGAATTATGTATTTGGGTTAATGTTACACCGCCGCGGCAGCGCTGGCATTGCTTTAATTTTGTTTTAACACAAAAATTGCCAAGTACCAGTATTTATTTGATGTGCGCAATGCAGCGATCGAAGTTGCAACTCGGACTGCAATTTCCTTCCGTCGTGGAGTTGCGCATCTTGATCGCCGGGTTCTCAGGCCGCGGCCAGAAAACTGGAATCCCAGTGAGCCAATGTGGCCGATACCGATGCCGAAGCCAGTGCTGTTGGCTATTTCAAAATCTAACTGTTAACTGCAAAAGTTGAACGTACTGGCAGCATGCAACATGCAACGGCTGCACCCACGGCAGCAGCAGCATTAACGGCAGTACATTGAAAGAAAAAAGGGGACTTAAAGGAACAAAATATTTCTTGAGATCATCTGTTGTTTCTTTACTTGTTAAAGAAATTGATCAGCAAGGAAAATCGTCTTAAAAATATATTTTAAAAGGTGATAGGTTAATCCTCATTGAGTTCCAATAGGTTTTTGAAAAAATGTCATACATCGAACTCTAAACAATATTTTTTTTGTACAATATATTGTAATAATGTTTATTTCATATTTAAAAATTTTAAGAAATAGGTGCCTCTAAAGTTTTGTTAGATACGAAAAACATTGTTTTTCATATTTTCATATTTAAAAATTTTTTTAAAATTTGTATTGCTATAAAAAAATTGATTTTAAAGAAATTTTTTTTTTAAATTACAAAAAAATGTATGAAAACCCTTCATAAATTGTTAAGTTTTGGAATATTGACACAATTAACGAAATCTAGAGAACAATCAAGTATATGAGATGTGAAATTTTGATTTTAATAATTTCGAGTACACTTTTTTCTCGCTGTGTATGCAACTGCAACAGAGCGGCCAGCGAAACGAGTTGAAAGCCGTTTTCCCTGTTTGCCAGCCAGCTCTTGAAAGTGGTTTGTTGTCTAACTGCGTTAGTTTCTGCTTTAAATTGTGCGCCCAAGCAGCTCCAGCGGGGTTTAATGGCTTTAACTGGAGACCTCGGCGTTTGGCCACCGACTTTTGATTCTGTTTCTGTGTAGTGTCTATTCTGTGGATTCTGTTCTATAGCGGGTTCTCAGGCGGCGCTGGATAAATGTCATAGCGGCGGATGCAGCGGGCATATTTATCATTAATCAAATACCCATCCGAGACTTAAAGACTTTCGATATGCGGAAACTACTAGCTGTATTTTCTGTTTGCCCCACCATCACCTGGTGGCCGATCATTTCCGCCAACGAGTTCGTGTTCCTTTGTTTTCCTTTATTTTGACACTGGGCCAGCAACGGCAATTACTTCTGCCACCGAAAACCCACCTCCCTGCCGCCCTGATTTATGAGTTTTTAATGAGCGGCAACCTTACACGAATTGTTAACAAGTGGAGTTGCGTCGCATGGAGTCGGTAGAGTTGGTAGAGTCAGTAGAGTCGGGGAAGTCAGGCCAATATCGCAAGTAATATCGCGAGCAATCGCACCTTGACATTCGAGTCGTGCGAAATGTCAGATGAAGATGCACCAATGATACGCTCAATGGGCGTTGGAATGCACAATACCCTATCTGTATGGTAGAAAATATGCCAAATTATGAACTGATATAAAATTATAAATGCACTTGAATTTAAAATGTCTAGGTTGATTTTATTATGCAACATTTAATTTAAAAATAATTCGGTCTTAGCAAAAAATATTAGATACTAAATTAAGCAATTTTTGAATTAAATGAAAAATAGTTTATTTTTATAATCAAAGTTTAAGATCCTTAAATTAAATGTTATTGTGTACTGTAACATTTAAACTGAATTTAAAAAAAACAATAGATGATAATTAAAGCCTACATTTTAAAATTGTCTATGGAGTTAATAAATTTACTAACATTTTTGAGAGGTTTGCTATGCACGAAATTCAAAATTTAGCCGTCATTCGCCTTTTAAGCTTTAACATTTTTACAACACTGCTATCGATACATTCTAAAGGTGAAGTCAAGTTAATCAAGTGTCAAAAAATATCATTTAATTGCTAGCCAACTGTCGGAGAGTCAAGGTTTTCAAAGAAAGAAAATTAATTTTCTACTTGTATTAATTATCTGAACTAAAAATGGACCGCAAGAAAGTAATGGAGAAGCCCTACATTAAGCGTTCCATTTCAAAAACCGTTCGTGACCAGTACAAGTGCTTCTTGGAGAAGAACCCGGACAGTCCAAAAGGCTTTGAGCGTGGACTGGAGCCACTCAGGATAGTGGGGGTCACCGACTCGTCCGGGGAGCTGATGTATCTGATGTTATGGAAGGGCAGTGACTGTGTAGACGAGGTGCCCGCTGAGTTGGCCCACAATCGGTGTCCCCAGTTGGTCATCCGCTTCTACGAGGAACGCCTCGTGTGGGCATCAAAAGGCGAAGGAAAGGGGAAAAGCAAAGATAACTGAAGGATCCGGGTGCAGATGGATTTTCCGGATATACGCTCATATCATACTCGACGTATCCAAGCTGGTTATAAGGCTGATCCTGTTCCAAAATCTAATAATTCTCCTCATACTAAACACATACAAAATCCATCATATTCAACACAATAAATGGAAGTGCTGTTTGCTGCACAATCTTACAAATCGGATAAAAAAAAACATTTTTCCGGACTTTAAAAATACATTTTTTTCTAAATATGTATCAATAAATACCTATCCCCTCTGATGTCAAGAGCATACAATCTTCTGCTTCGAATTCTCCACATTTTCTGGTTTCTGTTGTCGCCGGTGATTGATTATGCATTTTCATGCGAACTGGTTGCTGATGCTGCAGTTTGGTTTGGTGGCATGCGGGCAGGTGAATAAGTGAGTTTGGCTCGGCCCAGCCCCAGCCCCGCCCCCCGCCTTCCGCCTCCTGCCCCACAGCTTGTTGTTGGAGACAGGCCGGCGGCATTGTCTGCCAGGCGCGAAATTATACATGTATGCTTACACTAAAAGAAAATCTTTCCAAAAAGAAATTGTAAAAAATTGAAAATATATTAGCTCATTCAAAGAAAATAGTTTATCATACCAAAACGGATATACTTTCTCATTATTTTTATTAAATTCAGCTTTAAAACAATTTCATAAAATCCATAAGTATGCATAGTTTTTTACTGTGCACTTAATGCTGTCAGTGACCTTCACATCGCCGGCAAACCTGCAATTAGAAAAAACCCTAAGCCGCAGGATCAGAGACCCAACTCACAGGTCCCATTTTGCAGGCGCCCCAAGATTTATGCAGTCAGCTAAGTTAAAATAAAAAAAAGGGTTAAGCAGCCGACGCACCTTCTTTGCAGCGACATTTTGACATTGAAAAAGTATAATTAATTGATGGTGGGCCACCAGCAGGTGGGCGTGGCTGAGGGGGCAGATTAAATCGATTTATGCGAAATTTATGACAAAAACACACAAGAAAGGTTAAATAAAATGGGGCGCCGTCTGTAATTTGGAAATCAATCAAAGCCCAATTGCCACTCACATGCAAAGTAAAATCCCACATAAAAAATACAAATGTAAACAAGAAAAAACCCCAACTACTGTCAATGATTTTCGATTGCATCGATGACGCGTCAGCATCCGGTGGCAATCTTTTTGGGTGTGTTCACACTAGCCCCCTCCACTTCTCCACTTTTTTCAGACGATGCGATATGCACAAAATGTTTGCTTTGTGAGACACCCATTTTTCAAGCTATCAGCATTTATTTTTAATAAAGATGCCATCATTAATTTTAAGTCTGTGTGTTTTCGTGTAGAATGTTTTTTTTTTCCTCTCGGACGATCGGTCGAAAATGTGTCACTCGCTTCTTTGACTTTGATTTAGTGGCTAGACAGGTTAAAACCAGATGAGATCATCCCCAGTGAGGAAAGAGACGGCAAGATCGGCAATGACGTTTAGATAGCCACTGGAGATCGGGGCAAGAGGAAGAGCCAGTTTCTCGTTTCGCAGATCAAGAGATTCAACGAATTTTTCGGTTTTTACCTACCGACAACTCAAGTGACCGGCAGTTGTTTGGCCTTCATTCAAAAATTATTTGACATTGTAAAAATATTGTGATAAGATCTACGGACATTCGTGCGTGAAACTCAATGGTGCCGTTAGTTTGAGTAAGGTAGAGTGGGTTATTTTTGGGGGAAAAGTCGCTAATAAAAAATTAGATTTTTATTGTGTTCTAACAGTGTTTTCAAACTGGACCTACATTAGGATCGCTTGGTTTCTGCTCACATTTTTTAAAATGTTAAAGATATTTTAATGTTTGAAAGCCGCGCATGTAGTGTAAGTGCGTACATCATTTTTCGAATATTCGACAAGGATGTGAGTAGTCCAAAAAGCCTATTAAGCTTTTCGCCAATTCAAATGAGTTATCGTCCGTCTACCATCACTGGCAATTTGACAGTTATTAGTCGCTTACGTAATCGATGTTTTTTGGTTGAATTAGTGATTCCTAATTGATCCTGTCATGGTCCTGGAATCAAGACAAACTATATTTTGGATTCGGTTTCCATCCATGATGTGCTTCTGTTTCGCAAACCGACAATTACAATTAAAGCCACAAAGAAAGCCATTAAGAGCATCTAAGATAAATCTGCTTCGATTTGCCGTAACTCCCGATAATTTGGAAATTTGAAATACGTGCTGCAGATGGAGCGCCGCGTTTCATTTGCTGCCGCATTGCATTTCGTGATTTGCAATCGGTGGAAAAACAAGAAACCGCATTTGCCACATTTATCACGCACATATATCAGCTTGTCAGCCAAAGGTAGCCGGAGCTGCCCAGGAAAGCCCCATTCCCAGTCCCCGGGGAGTGAACCCAAACCCAAACCCGGACCCACCAAATTACGCTCATTTCGCGGCCACATAAATTTATCGGGCATCACAGAACACAGTATTTTCCTTGGCCCCACCACCACACAATAAACATAAGGCCCAGTTGGGCAACCCAACTGAAACTGGGGGCCCCAACTTTAATTAAGTGATCATGAACATGGGCAAACACAAATCGCCAAAGGCCGCGGAGTTGGATCTGGAAACGACCAAAACAAGATTAGAAGACGCCCGGCTGCCGAGCTTCAAATGTCGTTAGAACAGAGCAAATCTTTGGACCCGGATCGGGATCCCTAACCACAATTCCCTTTATGGCCAAGTCGGCAAACAAGACGCGAACCCGACTTCCCAGACCAACCAACTTCCTTCTGCAAACTCTGGAAAACTGCAAAGCGCATGTAATTTGGCTCAGAGTGTGTATTTTATTTAAGCGTTTATTAGCTGATAAACCGAAATAGATAAATCGTGGTCCAAAAGGGAAACCCAATCCTTAGCCTTCCTTTTTACCTTTAGCCCGTTGAAGGTTTTATGGCCAACCTCGGGCGCTCTTTTCCAGTTTCCACTCGCAGATAGATGGCAAATATTTTAACACACGTTAAAACATTCACGCGGGGCTAAGAAAGTTGTTTGTTCACGCCCATCTGTAGGTACAGTGGACCTTTAATATGTCGGCAGATGAGATATTTCTAGAGTTTTCCTCAGGCTAAATATAAACATATATATGAATACTTTAACAACACCCAAGGCACTCTTGCAAAAATTGATTTAGAAATAGATATTTTGATGTAATATATGGATCTCCCTGTAATATGTTAATATTTTTACCACCCCTTAAAATATTGGTACATTTTCAGTCAGGACAAGAAATCCTATAAGTATATCCGACTGCATTATAAATTTACTACTTCTTTATTATAAGTTATAGTGAGGTATTTTTAAGCTAGGAAAACTGAATTGTTTTTTGTGATCTGGAACTCACTGACGCCTTCTTCCCAGAGACTTCCGTCTCCAGCTGTCTTATGTCATAATCATGAGAGCGCCCACCTACCATATAAAGATGCTATCGGACTTCACACAAAATTATTACGTTATCCCAAAAACCCCGTCGCCAGGGGAACACACACTTTTCTGTCATTCTACCCAATTAACACTGGGAGTCCATGCCCGTTTTCCGTTTTCCACGTTACCAAGCCCAAAGTCTAATGAAAATCAGTCGTCGACTGAAAACTGAAAACTAAAAACTGAAAGTGGAAAAATAAATGAACGTGAGAAAATCGCCAACAGGTAGCGAACAATGAATATTGCGGGCACTAAGCATTTTCTGTTTCGCCAAAGGTGTTCGGGCATTACTATATTTTTTATGCCGGTCCCGTTTGTTGGATAAGTTTTCAGGGAAAGCCAAAGGAAGCGGCGATAAGCCTGGGACTCTGAGCCATGTTTGCGCATAAATTTCAAGTGTCATTTACCCGTCTTCGCATATGTCTTTTGTCTTCCTTTTTTATTGTTATTTTTTGGCACCTGTCCGAGATGACCAGGCCAATTGAGTTTTTTTTGTTTGTGCGTGCTCAACATTTTTAAGTTAATTATTTTTATTTGTCTTTCGGCCTGAGCCGAAAAGCCGCTTTTGCCCACAAGTGGTTATTCTCGGGTGGCCTTAATTGTATTTATTTTTTCTGTTACTTAATATGCTTTTAATTGATTTTTTACACTGGTTTTTAATATGTGATTTTCTCTCTTTATTCTCTTTGCAGCAAAAATGAAAATATTTTTGCCACTAGTCACGTGGATAGTGCTACTACTCTCGAGTGCAGTAAGTACCCCATAAACATTGTTCTTTATTAAGCTAATTAGTGGGTAAGTTGACGGGGGTTAAACCTGAATATCGATGGGATTAGATCAGAGGCTGCCAGCGGCAGTTAGCGTAGGGGTCATAATTAATTTATGGATATCCCCCAAATGGCACAAACAAAAGGCCTTTCACGCCCCGCCGCTGAAAAGAAGAGAAATATGATTAAATTTACGAGCTGCCACCTCATTATGAAACAAATTTCTGAACAAATAAACCAAAGAAAGAGCCCAGAAGTGAAAGAACCCCAATGATTAAAAAATGGTAGTTTCAGAAGATATTATACAGAATCCGAAAGCCAGGGAGAGGAAACAAATTATAACGATGGAACCTTTGATGGCCTAACGGTGTTCGGTTGGGTCTCATGCAAATGAGCCATAAAGGAAATTACTGCAAAATGACTTGGGCATAGGTAGGAATACATTTATTAAAACTAACAGCTAGCTGTGAAATCTTCTGCAGAATAGAGCGAGAGGAAACGATGATGCCGGGCAAATAATAATTTGGCAGCCCGAGAAGAATGCCAAGCAAAAATGAAAAAACCAGGCTAGCAAGAGTGACTAGTAATGATAGGGCCGGCGGAAGAGCAGAATCACTATGGCTACGGTCAACGACTGGCCAAGGAACCCAGCCAAACCGAACCAAACCGAGCCAATCGATTGAAGAAGAAAGCCAAGAAAACGTAATGAATAAAAATAGCCGCATTAGCTGTAAAAACGCTTTGATAGTCATCGATTTATGCAGTCGGCGAGGCGGGGAAAGGGTGTCCGGTGTGAATGAGGGAACTCCGAAGGGGCTTCGAGAAATTGGCCAAGAGAATTCTCTTCTCTAAGCCGAAAGCCAAGTTCATTGACACCTCTCACCCGTTTGTGGTTTTCTCTGCGACACTCTGTCAATGGTATTGCTCCATGTCGAGATTCTTTTACGGATTTGCTTTCCTTTGTGCCTTGGAACTTGATTTATGCGTGGCAGTCATAATTCATTTGATTAGCTAGATGCGATCATAATTAATTGTGAATTTGGAGAGTATACTTTTTTTTTCCTTAAACAAAAGACTCAGGCAACGAACTTGCCGGTTGACGGATGTCTTTTGTTGTTCTAAAGACAATATTTGCAAATGGTTTGCGAGAAAATACAGGCAGATTTTTATGAACTTAACTTTTATGACCACTCCTTGTTTGTAAATAAAAAGGTTAAGCATCTGAGTAAACATAGAGATTTTTTATTTTTGATCCTTGTAAAATGTTTTAGATAAATAATCAGAAAACACTGTGCCAAAAAATGTTTTATCTATGGAAATGTAAGGAAGAAATTATTTTTAATAATGTTTGAAAATGTTAGCAATGCGATATCTGTGCACATAGTAATATAGTTATTGGACCTGAAATTTTAAGAAGTAAAACAAAAAATTTTTTCTTTGAAATTTTTTTTTTTTTGTAGGGCTTTATAATTTTTTTTTTTTTTATTATCGAAAAAATTATCATTTAATCTAAATTTCTAAAACTTTTTGAGTGGACTTTAAAATAATATATACTCTAATAAAAGAAGAATAAAAAAAAAATTACTTATTTTTTTTAATTTATTTAAAAAAAAAAAAAATTTTTTTTTTCTGCCTTCATAATTTTTTCTCTTCTTTATAGGAGAAAAAATCATAATTTAATCTAAATTTCTAAAACATTTTGAGAGGGCCTTTAAACAATACCTACCTTAATAAAGGAAGTACATTTCTGAGTAATTTTTTTAAAGCAGTTCTCGAAGGAGTAATTTAGATCTTGCTAAATAAAGTCGAGTTAATGTCCATCGACAGTTATAACGGATGTGCACTTGAGCGTTGACGTGCAACGTCGTCATCTGTCTGCCGTTGTCATTGCGCCTGTTAACAAGCTTGGCAACGAAAAATTGCGCATTGTAGTCGCTGGCACGCCGCTCAATGTCATGGGAGCTTTCAGCTTTCAGCAGCCGCATCATCATCATCATCGTCGTCATTTTCAGTAGAGGAGGCATCAGTGGCATCATTGGCATCACTAGCATCAGTATCCACATCGCACATCTTTGCTCGCACGCCTTTAATTGTTGCACCACAGTTCGAGTATCGCTGCCTCAGTTGAGTGCATGTGCTGCTCATTGTGCCGCCTGTCAATTGATAAAAGTCGCAGAGTCGGCGGAATCTATTGTTTAGCAAGGCCGTTAGCGTTGCATGGCGTAAACTGAGGTGGGCACAAAGCAATTGAGTACCCAAAGCCAGCCCCATGGAGTTCTACAAGGGGAGCCCAGCTCAACTCGTCGTCTTCCTCTCGATAAGAATCTGCCTAAAAACAATTCGCGGCTAAACTTGAACTTGACAGCCAGTGCCTCATGTTCACACCTTCGTATGGCGGGGTCGCAGAGCAATTTAAGCAGCTTTTTTATGGCCTCCCCAGGCTCATTAGGCGCCCACAACAAAAGCAGGGAAAATTGGCCTTAAATGGGTAAACTGGGAAAATTTGCTGGGATTCTTCTTGGTGCAGAGACTTCTGCTTAATTGAGACACTGAACCCAGTAATGAGTAAATGGCATGAAAAGGAAAAGAATGTAGTATATTGTGTAGCAATAGGAAAACCTGTAAAGAAATTCCCATTGGAATAGGCAGGAAATATAATAAATAAGTATTATAAACATTTATTGGTAGAAAGGGATATAAATCAATATGCAGCTATAAAAATCAAATGAACAATTGAGACACTGAACCCAGTAATGAGTAAATTGCATGAAAAGGAAAAGAATGTGGTAAATTGTGTAGCAATAGGAAAACCTGTAAAGAAATTCCCATAGGAATAGGCAGGAAATATAACAAATAAGTAGTATAAACATTTATTGGTAGAAAGGGATATAAATCAATATGCAGCTATAAAAATCAAATGAGTAGCTCTTAAAAAGCACCCATTAAAAGAATCGTAACCAATGGCCCAAGCCTTAAAAAACTCAACTCGAAAAGAAGTAAATCATAAAAGTTTGTTGCCCAAGAGTAGTCATTAAAAGAAACGTTCACGTACGATTCTGTTATTTATTGAAGAAATCCAAAACAATTCAACTTTATCTTGTTTTACAAATATTTAAGCGGCTTCCAAATCTGATCTAACCACTTAATAACTATATTTGAGCGTAGGAAGTCGAATTGAACGGGTTACAAAAATAGAAGTAAAATCGCATATGTATAACAACGGCAATGCGACAAAACAGACATGTATAGAAACTAGTTTTAATTCATTTTTGCTGGAGCACAAAAAGGTCTTAAGTGACAAACTTGTTTCTCAGCCAGCCATCTAATGCTGGCAAACAGAAACTGAAACACGAAAACCAACACTCGAACTGCCAGCCAGTCGCCAGAGTTTTGGCCAAGAAAATATGGCAGGCGGGGAACAACTTTTGTTTTGCTAAAAGTAAAATCAGCCAAGTGTAACAATTAAGTGGCGGCGAAACAACACAAATGGCCACAATGTAGTGGAGAACGGGCCGGTCTATCTACATATATGTATGCCTATATATATACTCGTACCTGTACGATCGGGTCGTGCCCATATGGACCACATCGGGTTGAGAAATCTGAAGAAGCGCCGCCGGTGCTACGCCTGCTAAGCTTGCTGTATCTAATTTGAATTTAAATTAGTTTAGCGAAACCAGCTGGGGAACCCTAAATACTATGATCTACGAAATGAGGTTGCAGCGAAGGTTGGCATTAGGAAAAGGTTTAACCCTTTGTTAGGCGGAATGAAAGGTCTTTAATAAGAATAATGATAAAGGATCTAATTTTTCCTAAAAAACACTTTTGAATTAATAACATGTTCTGTGTATAATAAACGTCGTTTCTTTATATTTTACCTAAAATGTTACCTACTGTAAACCACTTTTTTAAGCTTCTTTGTTCTCGTTTAACCTTCGTATAAAAATATGGTCAAAGGATGATATCATAAAAAACGTTAAAAGATCATATAATTTCAGCATATGAAGTTAGGTATTGCATTCTTTTAGACTTGCGCTTGGTATTAAAACAGGTTTAAATAAGCCAGAGTTACGTTTTTAATTTTTCCACATAGGTTTCGAAGGGTTAATACAACTTCCTCGTTTTATTGCGTGCAATTAACTAATTCATTTGTATTGTGTGATTGCAGGTACATTCACAATATTCACAACAACCGCAACCATTCAAGACGAACTTGAGGGCGAATAGTCGGTTTCGCGGCGAGGTCTTCTACCTGAACCTCGAGAATGGCTACTTTGGCTGCCAAGTCAACGAGTCCACCGAATATTTGCAGCTATTCAACCTATCGAAACTATGCGACGGTACCCAAGATTGTTTTCTGGGTGCCGATGAGTTGAGCAAAGAGCTCAAATGCACAAGTAAGTATCATCTTGGCGAGCATTCGCTCGAAAGCTTAATGGGTTTGCCTAACCTCGGATGGTGTTTTTTTCCTTAGATGACTGTGATAAGGATGGCACCCAGTGCACACATGGCGCGTGTTTGAACGGCGTCTGCCATTGCAATGACGGCTACGGCGGTTGCAATTGCGTGGACAAAGGTGAGTCTGATTGTGTCTCGTCTGTTATGGTCCAGTCTGGCCTGGCCTGGCCTTACCTTACATAACCGTTAAAAACGCCTCCTAACTCTTCAATTACTTCCCCCTAGATGAGAACGAATGCAAACAGCGGCCGTGCGACGTGTTCGCCCATTGCACAAACACACTGGGCAGCTTCACGTGTACCTGCTTTCCGGGCTATCGCGGCAATGGCTTCCATTGTGAAGGTAAGTTGTACACTGAGATTTAAACTTTTCATTTTTATATTCTTTCAAATAATGAACACACTTAAGACTGCATTTAAGGTCCCTATACATCCACCTCTCATTGAGTTATCTTAGTTATATAAACCCCTGTATCCTCAGTATCTAGTAAAACTACAGCTTCCATATCTTTACCAAATGTAGCTCTAGGAGGTTTAGTGTCTTTTTTTTAATAGTGATTAAAACTTCAGATAACATTACCATTCCCAAGAAATGGTATAACTATTTTCCGTTCCAAGCCTTCTTTAAAAACTCTCTGGTTAAGATTTGTATCCAATATATTAAACATTTCGTTGCAACATTTATTATTTTTAGTGTAACTTTAGTACACAGCCTCCGTCTTAGTCTCATTGTATTAGTTAGCATAATGACTGACCAGCCAACGAAGCATCGTACAGATGATTGTTGTTTGCCGTTTTGTACTTCCGTCAACGTCTCTTCTTAGCCCAGACTAAAGTCTTTTTTTGTAGTTTGGCCTAACGGTTTGTGGCCATTCCCAGCAAAAAGACGTCTCGAGTGCCCAGCCTCCAAAGTTGAAAATGTAACAAAAGACGCGCCAGACAATAATATGAAAGCTTTCTCAGCCAGAGAATAGAGTAATAGTAATACCTATCTGCGAGGTAATAATAATGACCGTGTAGCGATTACACTTGAGTGCTTTGTGGCAAGGCTGGAGCGGATTAGAGAACCGCAGGCGGCAAATCTAATCCCAGGTTGCAGCTATCTGGATCTCTGGGATGCCTTGGATGGCCAAACGAATTTCGAAATATCTCAATCAGTTTCCGGCGATCTGCTACAGTTTCGATACCGGGGTCGGTTCCATTTGCTCGTTAGCCTAAGTGCCACACAGCAGGGGCCCAAAAAGCCAGGAGATAGAACTCTCTGTGTTCTGGCGCACCTGTTTACCCCATATGTATGTGCAAGTACTACGGACTATGGGAAACCGGCTGCCGTAATTGGACTTCGGCTAATGTTACATAATAAAAACACATTATGGCATCACAAAAACGAAAGAAGAACGAATCGAAAACAAGAACAACGGCGAGAGCACTAATAATAACTAGAAAACTATACGAAGGGGTTATGTCTTTCTATGTACCCCAGTATCCCAACTCCATTTGAACCCAACTCAAGTAGTTCAGTCTCAATAGAAGATGATGATGATGATGATGGCGGTGGTGGATGGATCGGGGGAAACCGAACAATAAAAAGCCACAGCATTTGTGGCAATGCTTTCGCGCCATGCAGCACACATCGTGGCTGTCTGTTAGACGGGGAATCAGTGTCATGTAATCTGACCCCGAACATGGACACGCCAGAACTTTCAACACTCCCCAACGGAGAATGGGGCAGGAGCAGGGAGGAGACCCTGCCACGCCCCACCTGCATTCGATGCAATGCGATAACGAGCGCAAATTTCACAGACACTCTGACATTACCCCGCTAAGTATGAAGACGTTGCCAAGATTCTAGATTACATGTGACGACTGATGTGGAGGAGCCGAGAGTCCCAGTCCCAGTTGCAGTCGCCATATACATAGCAAAATCCCATCCAGCTGCAGGCATGCATAAATTCTGGGCAACGACGTGTAACGCCGGCATCGCATTTCAGTCGCATTATCTAATTCTTTTCTATAGAACTTTTTCTCTCGCATATTATTCACGATGGCATGATTGCGCCCGCCATGTTGGGATTGCATTGGGGACAGGGCCCTGCTCGAGACCCAGAACTGGAACCCCCAAACCAAGTAGAACTGGAACCGCCAATTGTCTGTAATCATCTGAATTAGTTTTAAATGCGCTGAGAAAGTTCTTACTCGCCATCAGCACATGTGCGTGGAATAGTTGAATCTTCATCAGGGGCACACGCACTCTGTTTCCCAAGGCGAATGTTCTTAAACAGACAATTAAATGTAGGCAGTACCAGTAGCTGATTGCATAGTTCCACACATAATATAGATAGATAGAGTATCAGATTGTATTAGCATGTGTTTTTTTAATAGCCTGAAATATTTTATTGTCATTTTAAATTTATTTGTGAACTTAATGTGGAATTATACCTGAAATGATCATAGAATTAAGTTATGATAAAGTTGTTATGTTGTTCTATGATCAGTAGTATGTAAATGCGGGCTCAAATCTTGTTTTAAGTAAATTTCCGCCTTGAGCAGGGAAGACCTGCGCCCATCCTGCAACGCCCAAGTTTTCCATGGGATGCAAGGTGTCCCCCAGCGTTATGTAAATCCAGTTTCTGCATCAAGTTCACCCAATAAACTTAGCAACAAATCACACTGCTCTTGGCCTGACAAACCCACTCTTTGCCGGCTCAGAGACACATTTTGCGTGTTGTATTGGTACAGGTAGATCTACCTGTTTTCCTGTTTGGCATTTGGCCATTTATTTTTCTTTCCTTTTTATGCATCTAACGGTTGTTTGTGGCAACACCTGTTTCAGACTCTCTGGCGCATTATTTCATGTTCATAACTCAAACGCGTTCGATGGCGATGGCGATGGCTTCGTTAACGCATCGCAAAAGTCCAGTTATGCAATGACTATTGAAAAATGAAATAAACACACGCAGAGTTTTACAGAGAGAGTGGGTCTAAAGCCATCGATCCTTCTAATGCATTTGTCTTGCAATAAAAATGGAGTGAACCTCTCGAGCTCTGAGTGCTAAAGTGTATATCCACTTGGCCGCCAGAGCCAAAAGCCAACAAGAAGGCGATCCACTCCGGCTCGACCAGGCACGTTCACCAACGGCGGCTGCTCCCTTTCGTTTCGCTAACTGGGGCAGATCATTAAAACGGATAAAATAGATTGTGCCCACGTAGCAACGCCGTCACAGTCTCGGCTCCCCAGTTCTTCTGGTTCGGGGATTGGGGTTCGAGTTTCGAGGCGGTAGCATTGTCGGCGCTTAATGCCGCCTGTCCTCAAAAGCCCCAAACGGCACTGCCTCCATCTCCATCTGCGGCTCCAACTACAGCTCCATCTCCATCGCCATCTCCTTGTCCCGATGCAAAGCCAAAACCAAAACCAAAGCCAAAAACCGACACCAACTTCAATCCGCCGACTTGGGCCGGGCGACGCACCAAGTTGGAGATCAACGTCAGTTGATAAGCGTTGCCAGTTTTTCGTTCCGTTTTTTTTAATACCCTTTAAGGCGGGTATTAGGATTTTAACAAGAATGAAAATAATACCTTCGACCATGAGAAATAATAACAAAGGCTTTGGGAAACTTTAATTCTTCTTATAAAAAACCTTGGTATCATATCATTATTTTTAGGGATCGAGTCACCTTAATCCATCTATTCGAATTATTTTGTATTCTGCTAGAACTTTTGTGATTATATCTCAAAGGAACCTGCCTTAAATTCTTAAGGAACCACTTTATATCATTCTAGAATTAATGTATAATTACCTTACCAAGGCAAACATTTAATGGTTCCTTTGATATTTATGTATTACTTTTAGAATTTAAATTAGTATAAGATTCTCGAAGGAGTTTCATTGAAGTATAATATAACACAAGGGTAGTTTCAGCTTCGTTTTTCACTTTTCTGGCTCCCTGGTTGTTTTTATTTTCGGTCAGAACATATACGCCCCGATCCATTGGTGTGGCTTCTTATTTCAGGTCTCTTTGTAGTGCAATTTTTTCGCCAAGTTGCCGGGTTTGCCAGGTACTTTGCACTTTTTGCATATCAAAATGGCAGCAATTAATTCTCATGTCGAAGCCGGCGCTGATAAGGCATGAAAATGGCTTTAAGCGTCGGCATTGACACGCCTAATTATACACGCGTGTGTTGCCACATTTACGCACAAATGAGGGGCGGCTCCGTCGAGTAAAGCCACCCATGGCTTTCGGTCTTGGATTTGGATTGGGAGTTACCACCAGTGGCCCGGATCCGGATTCGGCTGACATCACTTGCGGTTCGACCTTGATCTTAGAGAAACTTGGCGCTTAATTGCGTAACAAATTGCTAACTAATTTGGGTTTTCTTGTTTATACTTATTATGTAGCTAAGTTTTTTTAAGTTACGTTTAGTTTTCGCTCGAGTTCAAGTTCAACTGTTAGCTAGACTTAGTTGTAGACACTTTTGGCTCCCTAGGTTGTTAGTTTATTGTTATTTATTCGAGCTGCTAATCATCATTGCCTGGCAGTGGAGCATGAAAGTCATGTCCGCTCGTAAATTTTATCTCTTCCATATGGCACGAATGTCATAATTCAAATTGTTTTCTGCCTCGAAAAACAACAAATGCAACAAATGCAGCAAATGCTAATTAGTCCAACAATTACACAATTTATTAGATAGACGCCAACCAGACCAGACGACTGCCCATGTATAGATTAGCATTAGCTTTAGTCTTTTGTTGATTTTTGCAATAGTCTGTGATTGAAAATTAGTTTTAATTGGAGCAGGCAGTTTTACTTAAATACCCCTGAATTATAAATAATTTTCTTGCAGACAGGAAATATACGAGTATGTGTTCTATCAGGCGAAACAGAAATCAAGATCAAAGTTTCTTTCGAACCCAAATAATAGAAACAGAGAGATACGATATAATAGTGTTCTAAGCATTTCCCTTTTTCTGCAGTCGTGCGAGTGTGTGGTTTTAATGACCAGATCACCGCCTTTTAAAATGCCACAAGTGGAACAAGTCTCGAACCGACTGTTCTGACGATTATGGTTAGCATTTCGAGACGAACAGGAAACCCAAGAAGAAGACCCTGCCTAGGGTAGCCAACGAGAATTATGTCAGCATCATTTCAGGCAATCATTCGGCTTAATCACATCGAGTCACGCATATTTGATTGCTTTTAAAGCGGTCAAATCCGATGGCTAGAACGCCTACTGGAAAAAAAGAGCTTTGCCAAAATGTATTTCTATGCGGCGGATAGCTGGGAAATCTTAATCTGAGTGAAGGCAAAAATTAGATTTACACTTTCGAGTCCGAAGAGCTGCAGTTTAACGGGCTGTGAGAATATCATTCCTGGCAGGAGATGCAACGGGCGTGCTAAGTTCATTAGACAGCCTTTGGTCAATGGCCCGTTCCGATCTTGGGATCTCGGGATCCCTGGACTGCTGTCTTCTTGCAGTCGGATTGCATAAAGTAATTAAACTGACATTGAAACTTAGAGGAACACAGAATGCTTCCTGCTTCTGGTAGAGAACTCCTGGTCAGCCATTTGAAAGAGATGGAAGAGACGACCAAGACTGGCATGGCACTCAGTCGACGAGGATGATGACATTGAGTAATCAGAGTTTGCAATTGCCACAAACAACAAACAACGCGGCAAACATGGAATGCTGTCATATCAGTCGGTTGTTAAGAGCAAATACCAGTTTCGGTACCCCGCCGCAGTCGAGTGATGATCCTCTTAATTTATAAGCTAAAAACTAGTAATTATAACTGAACGGCCGACTCGTTCTGCTTGTAATTATAAGGCACTCACTCGCCCTTTTTAGTTTTCTTCTTCCTTTTTTCCCACTCTAGGATCCTTGTCTTTGGCTTTTGCCAACTTTTGTACTTATGTCATATTAGCTATAAATGTACAACTTTTGCCTGGTCGCCGGCCCAATGATTAATGGGCCCAGATTGCGATGGAGCGGCTGCCCATGCCCATGGTACCGCCTGCCCTCTGGTTCTGTTTTTGCCCCTATATCATTCCATTTCATCCCATCCCATCCAGCCGAATTGCCGCTCCATTGGCTCCGACCGTCTGCGATATTGAATTCTCAATGCGCTGCGCGCTATTGGAGCAGAAAGCTCTGATCACCAGCTCATCCTAAGCCAGTCTTCCGCCTGATTTAAGCTTTGGATTCGGTTCGAATCCAGACCCAGACACATTCACAGACCCAGAGAATGTGGCTGAGCTGGGCTTAGCTGAAAGGTTAGATGGGCTGCCGACTGCGGGCTTATGCAATTCGAGAATTCTTGTGAATGTATTAAAATTAATGCCGGATGGCTACTTATTCAAAAAGATCTTACAGATAGATTATTATTTCTTTCATATGAGGAAAAGGCAGTGAAGAGGTGGAATAATTATATAATATAATAAATATATTATGTTAATACGTTAAATTAGTTTAATTAAAATAAACGATGCAAGGCCAATATGTTATAATATTCGATATAAACATATAAACATATCTCAAGCTTCTTTCAATTGTGCTTGGTCCTCCTGTATGGGTATAAGAAATACCTTCAAAGGGGAAGTTTATTTCCTTAAAAATCTCCAAACTAGATATGTTTTTCGCTTTTAAATTCCAAATGGAAATGGACTGGCCCATTAACATTGACCACACAGCCAATTGGTATGCAAAGCGTATGCAACTGGTGCATCCTGTGCTGTGACATTGCAACCAGTGGCAGCCACGCCGCTGAAATGACACTGAAATGTCATGCGTAACATGCAAATCTCGGATGCATCCACATCCACAGCCACTGGAGTTCCAACTCCAGCAGCTATTCCAACTCCAAGTGCGGCTGCAAAGCGAGCAAAGCGCATTCAAGCGGAAAAATGCGTAGAGCTCTACTATGAGGCGGAGATTGGACTATGTTCGATGCACTTGAAGATGAAATAGAGATCAAAAGTAGTTCCAATTTTAAAAATATTAAATTTTTATATTATACTAGAATGATAAGTTGTGCTTTTAGAAGGCAGAAATAGCTATATAATTTCATAAAAAAATATTAAAGAGTTTCCATAAGTTTATATAATCTTAACTACTAGATAAAAGAAGGACCATTTAAAAAAGGAAGATCAAAAGGCAGTAAAAAAATAATAGTAATTAATATTTATTAATAATTTTGTTTTTACATGCTTTATATAGACCTTAGACATTTCAAATTTTTTCTTTTATACCTAATAAGAGATCCAACATTAATTTTTTTTTTATATTAAGATCACACTTTTGGCTCAGTGTATACTCATAGGTGGAGATAAATGCCCAGTGTTCGGATTTTAATTACTTGTCATTTGTTGCGTGGCACATTCGATTAATCAAAGCTCCGCTCCCCTTTCCTTCTCCTCAGACATTGACGAATGCCAAGATCCCGCGATAGCAGCGCGCTGCGTGGAGAACGCCGAGTGCTGCAACCTGCCGGCGCACTTCCTCTGCAAGTGCAAGGACGGCTACGAGGGCGACGGCGAGGTCCTCTGCACGGATGTGGACGAGTGCCGCAATCCGGAGAACTGCGGCCCCAACGCCCTGTGCACCAACACGCCGGGCAACTACACATGCTCCTGCCCGGAGGGCTATGTGGGCAACAATCCGTATCGGGAGGGTTGCCAGGATGTGGACGAGTGCTCGTACCCGAATGTCTGCGGACCCGGTGCCATATGTACGAATCTCGAGGGCAGTCATCGCTGCGACTGCCCGCCGGGATACGACGGCGATGGACGCTCGGAGTCCGGTTGCGTGGATCAGGATGAGTGCGCCCGGACGCCCTGCGGCCGGAATGCGGACTGTGTGAACACGGACGGCAGCTTCCGCTGCCTGTGTCCGGATGGTTATAGCGGTGATCCTATGCACGGCTGCGAGGGTAAGTCAGATAATTAGATTCATGCATAGTTTCAAAATTAGATTACCTCATTGTTACATTTTGGTTATTTTTTGCACTCTTGTTTTTTGAACTTGAATTGGCGGCACCTTCAACATACGAACAAACACCAAAAAACACACACATATTATTATTACTACCATCGTACATTAATGCACCGCAACATGCAACATTAATACAAAAATTAATGCCTAACGCCGGCAGATGTCGATGAATGCGCCACTAACAATCCATGCGGTTTGGGTGCTGAATGCGTGAACATGGGCGGTAGCTTCCAGTGCCGCTGTCCCGCCGGCTTTGTGCTGGAGCACGATCCTCATGCGGATCTGGTGCCCCAGTCGCCCCAGCAGAACCCCCAACAATTGGGCTACGGGCCGGGGGCGACCGATGTGGTGCCCTACCAGAGGACCTCGGGCGCCGGTCTGGCCTGCCTGGACATTGATGAGTGCAACCAGCCGGATGGGGTGGCCAAGTGCGGCACCAATGCCAAGTGCATCAACTTCCCCGGCTCGTACCGCTGCCTGTGTCCCAGTGGATTCCAAGGACAGGGCTATTTGCACTGCGAGAGTTAGTATCCTGCCTGCTTTTTGCCTTTGCCTGGGCTCTAAATACAGTTTATCTAGTAGGGAAGTTTAAATATAATATACAATTTTTATATTTCGAAGATATAACAGATTACCTTTTACTATAAAATCTATAAGAAATCAATATTTGAAAATTATACCCTTTCATTTTTAAGAATTATATAAAAATTAGATCTTTTTTAATCTTTAAATTCAAATTGTGTAATCTTTTAGACTGAAAAATTATATTTGATCTGAAAAATTGATAACGCAACATTTTTTTAAAGATTTATAATAATACAATATTGTATAACCTGATCCTATTGAATCACCAGATTCTTAATGTAATCTTCGATTATATTGAGGTCCGTTTGAACTGCAAAAATCGTCACCGCTTTTGAGAAACTTTAAAGAAGTGTAATTAGGTTTGCATAGTCCTACTGTATAGAGAGCCCAGGCACTTTAGTAGCCCACTAAGTTGGTAATATTCCCGATTTCCTTTATGGAATTTTACCAACCCTGTGTTTGCTTCCTCCCCTGCTTCCCAACACCTGCTATGTGCTCCTCAAGCTGTTTTGCAAGCTTCAAGCTTAGCTTATTTGCTTTACCGGCAGATGCATGCTTTTCAGACAGCTTCCTTGTGTACCCGTAGTCCCACCTTCCCGAACTCTTCACTATATGTCTTTACGTCCCACCCGATCCCGCTCCCCCACTTCACGCTATGCTCCCTCGCCTATGTATCATCCGATTCCGTGTTGTTTTGCATACTAATTTAATTAATTATAATATATTTAACTCACCCCCCTCGAACAACCCGCCTATGAACACGCGTGCCCCCTCTCCAAACATCAACCATCACCCCTGTCCCTGCACCGACTGGAAATCGCGTAGACATCAACGAGTGTCAGGATAATCCGTGTGGGGAGAACGCGATCTGCACGGACACCGTTGGCAGCTTCGTGTGCACCTGCAAACCGGACTACACCGGTGATCCCTTCCGCGGATGTGTGGATATCGACGAGTGTACCGCCTTGGACAAGCCGTGTGGACAACATGCGGTGTGCGAGAATACCGTACCCGGCTACAACTGCAAGTGCCCACAGGGATACGACGGGAAACCCGATCCCAAGGTGGCCTGCGAGCAGGTGGATGTGAATATCCTGTGCAGCAGCAACTTCGATTGCACCAACAATGCGGAGTGCATTGAGAACCAGTGCTTCTGCCTGGATGGCTTCGAACCCATTGGCTCCAGTTGTGTGGACATCGATGAGTGTCGCACCCACGTGGAGGTTTGTGGTCCCCATGCCCAGTGCCTGAATACCCCCGGATCCTATGGCTGCGAATGCGAAGCGGGTTACGTGGGCAGTCCGCCAAGGATGGCCTGCAAGCAGCCTTGCGAGGATGTGCGATGTGGAGACCATGCCTACTGCAAACCGGATCAGAATGAAGCCTACTGTGTGTGCGAGGATGGATGGACCTACAACCCGAGCGATGTCTCGGCGGGATGTGTGGACATCGATGAGTGCGATGTGCTGCACGGACCCTTCGGAAGTTGTGGTCAGAATGCCACGTGCTCGAACAACGCGGGAGGATTTACGTGTGCCTGTCCACCGGGCTTCTCGGGAGATCCGCACTCCAAGTGCGTGGATGTGGACGAGTGCCGTACGGGAGCCAGCAAATGTGGAGCTGGAGCGGAGTGCGTAAATGTACCAGGTGGTGGATACACCTGTCGCTGCCCCGAGAACACCATTGCCGATCCCGATCCCAGTGTGAGGTGCGTGCCCATCGTGAGCTGCTCCTCCAATGAGGATTGTCCTGGTAACTCCATCTGTGATGCGACCAAGCGTTGCCTGTGCCCCGAACCGAATGTGGGCAATGACTGCCGACATCCTTGTGAAGCCCTCAATTGTGGAGCACATGCCCAGTGCATGCTGGCCAATGGACAGGCTCAGTGCCTGTGTGCTCCGGGATACACTGGAAACGCTGCTCTGCCAGGTGGCTGCAATGACATCGATGAGTGTCGGGCTAATCCCTGTGCGGAGAAGGCCATCTGTTCAAATACAGCTGGTGGCTATCTGTGCCAGTGTGCCGGAGGATCCGGTGGAGATCCGTATCGCGAGGGATGCATTACCTCCAAGATGGAGGGTTGCTCTGACGCCAATCCCTGTGCGGCAGGTGAGACCTGTGTCCAGGACTCGTACACCCGCAACGGTGTGTGCATCTGTCGACAGGGTTACGAACGGAATCCGGAGAATGGCCAGTGTCAGGATGTGGACGAGTGCTCATTGCAGAGAGGAAAGCCCGTCTGTGGACTGAATGCTCTGTGTAAGAATCTGCCAGGAAGCTATGAGTGCCGCTGCCCACAGGGTCACAATGGAAACCCCTTCATCATGTGCGAGATCTGCAATACGCCGGAGTGCCAATGTCAATCTCCGTACAAGCTTGTTGGCAACAGTTGCGTTCTGTCGGGATGCTCCACCAGTGGACAGGCCTGTCCCAGCGGAGCCGAGTGCATCTCCATAGCCGGAGGTGTTAGCTACTGTGCCTGTCCCAAGGGCTATCAAACCCAGCCGGATGGCAGCTGTGCCGATGTCAACGAGTGCGAGGAACGTGGCACCCAACTGTGCGCCTTTGGAGCTCAGTGCGTGAATACACCAGGAAGTTATAGTTGTCACTGTCCCGAAGGATACCAAGGAGATGCCTACAACGGATTGTGCGCTATGGCACAGAGGAAATGTGCTGCCGATAAGGAGTGTGCCAGTAATGAGAAGTGCATCCAGCCGGGAGAGTGTGTTTGCCCACCGCCCTACTTCCTGGATCCCCAGGACAACAACAAATGCAAGAGCCCCTGTGAACGATTCCCGTGCGGCATTAATGCCAAGTGCACACCCTCGGATCCACCGCAATGTATGTGCGAGGCGGGATTCAAGGGAGATCCTCTGCTGGGCTGCACGGATGAGGACGAGTGCGCCCATCTGCCCTGCGCCTATGGAGCCTACTGTGTGAACAAGAAGGGTGGCTACCAGTGCGTCTGCCCCAAGGACTATACCGGAGATCCGTACAAGAGTGGCTGCATCTTTGAGAGCGGCACCGTAAAGACCGTTTGCCTGAGCAACGACGATTGTGCCAGTAATCTGGCCTGTCTGGAAGGAAGTTGCGTAAGTCCATGTAGCAGTCTCCTTTGTGGATCCAATGCCTATTGCGAGACGGAGCAGCATGCCGGCTGGTGTCGCTGCCGAGTGGGATTCGTGAAGAACGGAGACGGAGACTGCGTCTCCCAGTGCCAGGATGTGATCTGTGGCGAGGGAGCCCTATGCATTCCCACCAGCGAGGGACCCACCTGCAAGTGTCCACAAGGACAACTGGGTAATCCCTTCCCCGGCGGCAGCTGCAGCACTGATCAGTGCTCAGCCGCCAGACCTTGTGGCGAGCGACAGATCTGCATCAATGGAAGGTGCAAGGAGCGGTGCGAGGGAGTGGTCTGCGGTATTGGAGCCACCTGCGATAGGAACAACGGGAAGTGCGTCTGCGAACCGAACTTTGTGGGTAATCCCGATCTGATCTGTATGCCGCCCATCGAGCAGGCCAAGTGCTCGCCAGGATGCGGAGAGAACGCTCACTGCGAGTACGGTTTGGGTCAGAGCAGGTGCGCCTGCAATCCCGGAACCTTTGGCAATCCGTACGAGGGCTGTGGAGCGCAGAGTAAGAACGTCTGCCAGCCGAATAGTTGTGGACCCAATGCCGAGTGCCGTGCTGTGGGCAACCACATCACCTGTCTTTGCCCGCAGGGCTTCAGTGGTAATCCCTACATTGGCTGCCAGGATGTTGACGAGTGTGCCAACAAGCCGTGTGGTCTCAATGCAGCCTGCCTGAATAGACCCGGCGGATTCGAGTGCCTGTGTCTCTCGGGACATGCTGGAAATCCCTATAGTAGTTGTCAACCCATTGAGAGCAAGTTCTGCCAGGATGCCAACAAGTGCCAGTGCAATGAGCGAGTGGAGTGTCCCGATGGCTACAGTTGCCAGAAGGGCCAGTGCAAGAATCTCTGCTCCCAGGCTTCGTGTGGCCCAAGGGCCATCTGCGATGCCGGAAAATGTATCTGCCCCATGGGATACATTGGAGATCCCCATGACCAGGTCCAGGGATGCAGTGTGCGTGGTCAGTGTGGGAACGATGCTGACTGCCTGCACTCGGAGATCTGCTTCCAGTTGGGCAAGGGTCTGCGCAAGTGCGTGGATGCTTGCTCGAAGATTCAGTGCGGACCCAATGCCCTCTGCGTCGCCGAGGATCATCGTTCCTCGTGCATCTGCTCCGATGGTTACTTTGGTAACCCAAGTAATCTGCAGGTGGGATGCCAGCCGGAGAGGACGCTGCCCAAGGAAGCGGACAAATGTAAATCGGATCGGGACTGTGAACGAGGATATGGCTGTCAGGCCAGCGTTCATGGCACCCGGGAGTGCGTTGACCTCTGCTCCAATGTCGTCTGCGGACCCAACGAGCTGTGCAAGATCAACCCAGCTGGACATGCGATTTGCAACTGTGCCGAGAGCTATGTCTGGAATCCGGTGGTCTCCTCCTGCGAGAAGCCCTCACTGCCCGATTGCACCAGTGACGCCAACTGTCCCGATGCATCCGCCTGTCGCCCAGATGTCCTGGGTGTGCTTAAGTGCGTGGCCATCTGCGATGCCTTCACCTGTCCAGCCAACTCCGTTTGCGTGGCTCGTCAGCACCAGGGACGCTGTGATTGCCTCAATGGCTTTGTGGGTAATCCCAACGACCGGAATGGCTGCCAGCCGGCCCAGAAACACCACTGCAGAAACCATGCCGAGTGCCAGGAGTCGGAGGCCTGCATCAAGGATGAGGCCACCCAAACCCTTGGCTGTCGACCAGCCTGCGATACGGTCAAGTGTGGACCCCGTGCCGTTTGTGTCACCAACAATCATCAGGCACAGTGCCAATGTCCACCTGGTCCGTTTGCCGGCGATCCTTATGATCCCTTCAATGGCTGTCAGAGTGTTCCTTGTGTCTACAACCATGACTGTCCACCTAGCCAGATGTGCAACCGTATGACCCACACCTGTTTCGATGTATGCGACGAGGAGTCCTGTGGTGAGAATGCCATTTGCTTGGCGGAGGATCATCGTGCCGTCTGCCAGTGCCCACCTGGATTTAAGGGAGAACCACTGCCGGAAGTTGCCTGTACCAAGCAGGGCGGTTGTGCCGCTGGAACCTGTCATCCCTCGGCCATTTGTGAAGTGACCCCCGAGGGACCGGTCTGCAAGTGTCCGCCGCTCTTCGTTGGCGATCCCAAGTCGGGTGGTTGCCGTCCAGATGGTCAGTGCCCGAATGGAGATGCCGACTGCCCGGCAAACACAATCTGCGCTGGAGGAAGATGCCAGAATCCCTGCGACAATGCCTGTGGCTCGAATGCCGAGTGCAAGGTGGTCAACAGGAAGCCCGTCTGCAGTTGTCCCCTGCGATTCCAGCCTGTTTCCGATACGGCCAAGGATGGATGTGCCCGAACCATATCCAATTGCCTCACGGATGTCGACTGTGGAGGAGCATTGTGCTACAATGGACAGTGCCGTATTGCCTGCAGGAACAGCCAGGATTGCTCCGATGGCGAAAGCTGTCTAAAGAACGTCTGCGTGGTGGCCTGTCTGGATCACAGTCAGTGCTCCACGGGATTAGCCTGCGTCGAGGGCCACTGCACCATCGGCTGTCGCAGCAACAAGGAGTGCAAGCAGGATCAGTCCTGCATTGAGAACAAGTGCCTAAATCCCTGCCAGTCGGCCAGTAGCTGTGGTCCCAATGCCCTCTGCAGCATTGCCCAGCACCGTAGCCAGTGCAGCTGCCCAGAGGGATTCGAAGGTAATCCCACTCCAGAACAGGGTTGCGTGCGTGTGCCCGCTCCCTGCTTGGCCAGCAATCAGTGCCCCAGTGGACACATGTGCATCGGAAATCAGTGTAATCTGCCCTGTACCAAGACCTCCTCCTGTGCGGTTGGAGAACGTTGCTATCAACAGGTGTGTCGCAAGGTGTGCTACACCAGCAACAACTGTTTGGCCGGAGAGATCTGTAACTCGGACAGGACATGCCAACCGGGTTGTGACTCCGATGCCGATTGTCCACCCACCGAGCTGTGCCTCACTGGAAAGTGCAAGTGTGCCACCGGATTTATTGGAACTCCCTTCGGCTGCTCGGATATTGATGAGTGCACGGAACAACCCTGCCATGCCAGCGCTCGATGCGAGAACCTTCCGGGATCCTATCGATGTGTATGCCCCGAGGGAACTGTCGGCGATGGATACTCCCAGCAGGGTTGCTCGCAACCCAGACAATGCAATAAACCAGACGATTGTGCCAATAATCTGGCCTGTATTCATGGAAAGTGCACGGATCCTTGCTTGCACACCGTTTGCGGATTAAATGCCCACTGCCAGTCGGAGGGACATGAAGCTTTATGCACCTGTCCAGCTGGATTTTTGGGTGACCCCAACGACACCGGAGTGGGTTGCTTCAAAGTGGAGTGCATTGATAATGTGGATTGTGCCGGAGATCGTGCCTGCGATGCGGAAACCAATCGCTGTATTAAACCCTGCGACCTTACAAGTTGCGGAAAGGGCAATTGCCAGGTGGAAGACCACAAGGCTGTGTGTGCCTGCTACGAGGGCTATCAGTTGGTCAACGGAGTGTGTGAGGATGTCAACGAGTGCTTGTCGCAACCATGCCACAGCACCGCCTTCTGCAACAATCTGCCTGGAAGCTATAATTGCCAGTGTCCCGAGGGTTTGATCGGAGATCCCCTGCAGGCCGGTTGCCGGGATCCCAATGAGTGTCTGAGTGATGCGGACTGTCCCGCCTCAGCCAGTTGCCAGAACTCCCGATGCCGTAGTCCTTGCGAACGCCAGAATGCTTGCGGACTGAATGCCAATTGCCAGGCGCAGGCTCATCAGGCCATTTGCACTTGTCCCCAGAACTCTCGCGGAGATCCCACCGTCGAGTGCGTGCACATCGAGTGCTCGGACAATGACGACTGCTCAGGGGAGAAGGCCTGCCTGGACGCGAAGTGCATCGATCCCTGTTCCCTGCCCAATGCCTGTGGAGCTCAGGCTCGTTGCTCGGTGCAGAACCACATTGGAGTGTGCTCCTGTGAGGCTGGAAGTACCGGAGATGCCAAGTTGGGATGCGTGCAACTGCAGTACTGCCAGCAGGATGGACAGTGTGCCCAGGGAAGCATCTGCTCCCATGGCATCTGCAGTCCCCTGTGCAGCACCAATCGGGATTGCATCTCGGAACAATTGTGTTTGCAGGGCGTCTGCCAAGGAACCTGCAAGTCGAACTCTACTTGCCCCCAGTTCCAGTTCTGTTCGAATAACATTTGCACCAAGGAGCTGGAGTGCCGATCGGATGATGAGTGTGGCGAGGATGAGACCTGTCTCAGTGATGCCTATGGCCGGGCCAAGTGTGAGTCCGTGTGCCTGGGTCGTGCTGCATGTGGCCGGAATGCCGAGTGTGTGGCCCGTTCCCATGCTCCCGACTGCCTCTGCAAGGAGGGATTCTTCGGGGACGCTAAGTCCGGATGCCGCAAGATCGAGTGCAGCAGCGATGATGACTGCTCGAATGACAAGAGCTGTGACAACCATATGTGCAAGATCGCCTGCCTCATCGGACAGCCGTGTGGAGAGAATGCCCTCTGCACCACCGAGCACCACCAGCAGGTATGCCACTGCCAACCAGGATTCTCGGGAGATCCGCGCGTGCGTTGCGATGTCATCGACTTTTGTCGCGATGCTCCGTGCGGACCCGGAGCCCGTTGCCGGAACGCGAGGGGGTCGTACAAGTGCACCTGTCCCCCGGGACTCGTTGGTGATCCGTACAACGAGGGCTGTCGCAGCTCCGTCGAGTGCGAGACCAACGAGGACTGTCCCCCGCACGCTGCATGCACCACAACCAATGGGGTGGCCAAGTGCCGCGATGTCTGTGCCCAGCTGCAGTGTGGCCCCAATGCGGAATGTGTTCCGAAGGGCCATGTCGCGCAGTGTGCATGCCGCAGCGGCTACGATGGCCAACCCGCCGACCGGGTGGCCGGGTGTAAGCCGCTGCCCGTTCCCTGTCAGGTCACCGGCGACTGTCCGACCAACACTTACTGCTCGGATAGCGTCTGCAAACGTAAGTACTAACACCACCCAGCACCGGGCCTAAACCGACTACCAGACAACGTAAATTGGCTAATCTACCTTGTAACCACCTTTTTAGTACTACCTTCTTACTCAAAAACTAGCACTGATCTACTTACCGGAGATGTTGTGGCACTGAACGGAAGAACCTTCTTCATGAACCCATATTTTCTGATGTGTAAGATTAAATATGTCACACAGACAGAAAATAGGTACCAGGATCAACTGGGTACTAGTCCTACAAGATAGTGATTTTCGATTCTCCTCCCTTTATATCTAAAAATTTTACGGGTTTCAACAAATCGAGTATCATTTCTTATACATTACTTGATCATAGTCAGTACAAATTTCAAAGCTTATATTTCAAAGTTCCAGTTTAATAATTATGATCTACAAATTGTAAATGTTTTGAGCATTTATAGAAGTTTTAACTATTATTAATTTTTCAACGAATTGAATTCCCACAAAGTTTTCCGCTAGATAAGTTTTATTCCATCTTTAAAAATCCCAGGTGTCACAGCATCTCAAAAGAACTACCAATTGAACTCAACCTTAGGACTGGCTTAAGCCTACGATCTAAACCAAATGCTATTTTATAACTTAGACTAACTGCAAACTAAAATGAAAATACAACAAGATACACATATGACCACACGCCACGAACAAATCGAGACCGTAACGCCAACCTGGATACATTATTCTCTTAAGAGTGCCCCAATAACAACCTGATCTTTACCCAAACAGCTGCCTGTGTTCTGGACACCGAATGTGGAGCATCCGAGGTGTGTCAAGGTGGCCAATGCTTCAATCCCTGCCTACAGCCGCAGGCTTGTGGACAGAATGCCGAGTGCGTGATGCAGAATCACCTGAAACAGTGCCATTGTCCGGAGGGCTTCACTGGTGACTCAGCCAAGGAGTGCGTGCGTGTGCCGGTGGCCTGCGATGTGGACTGTGCACCAGGATACACCTGCCGTGACTCCATGTGCCTGCCTGTGTGCCACAACGATCTGGAGTGCGCCTCCAACGAGAAGTGCCTGAAGGGCAATTGTATGCGTAAGTGATCTGCCCATATATCATCATTCATTAGGGAAGGAAAATCGAAAAAGCCACAGTTAATCCATGGAAAAATGAGAAATATATTTTCTTTCATTATAATTTTCCCAAGATTTTCTATCGCTAGTCTCAACATCTATCAATAACCCATTCTAATATCCATTTCTCTCCTTTAGTGACCTGTCGAGTGGACAACGATTGCTTCCTGGGTCACGTTTGCCTGCACAACAAGTGCGTGTATGGCTGCCATGTGGATGATGACTGCAGTGCCTCCGAGTCCTGCCGCAATGATAAGTGCGTAAACCCATGTGTGGAGAATCCCTGTGGTCCCAATGCCGCCTGTTCGGTGTCCAACCACCGGGCCAGCTGCAGCTGCCTGGAGAGCATGGTGCCCAATCCCACGCCCCAGGTGGGCTGCGTCCGATCTCCCCCCTTGGAATGCCGCGAGAATCGCGACTGTGGCAATGGATTGGCCTGCTTCGAGTCGGTTTGCCGACCTCTGTGCGCCGATGATGCCGGCTGTTTGACCAACGAACGCTGCCAGCAGGGAGTTTGCAAGCCCCTCTGCCGCCACGACAACGAGTGCGGTCATGGAGAACTCTGCCTGGGACTGAACTGTGTTCCCGGCTGCCGCTCCGATCAGGGCTGTCCCCAGGACTTGGCCTGCGTGGGCCAGCAGTGCGTGGATCCCTGTGCCGATCCCACAGCCTGCGGCACCAATGCCCAATGCCAGACGATCGATCACAGGAAACAGTGCTCTTGCCCGGAGGGTCTGGATGGCAATGCCAATGTGGCCTGCAAGGTGCCACGCATTGCTTGTGGAAGGAACGAGGATTGCCAGTCGAATCAGCTCTGCTATGCCGGCAGCTGCCAAGGAAAGTGCAGAAACGATCAGAACTGCCTGGCGGATGAGCGTTGCATGAGGGGCACCTGTAGGACCGTGTGCAACACGGATGAGGCCTGTGCCCAGGGACAGATTTGCGAGAATCGCATGTGCCAGACTGGATGCCGTACGGATTTGAGTTGTGCCAGCGACGAGGCCTGCGTGAACAAGAAGTGCCAGAACCCATGTCGCACGCCGGGTCAATGTGGCCAGTGTGCCGACTGCCTGGTGGTCAACCATGGAGTCCAATGCCAGTGCCCCGCCTCCTTCATGGGCGACGGTCTGACTGGTTGTCAACTGCCGCCGGAACGTTGCCATCCCGGCTGCGAGTGCGATGAGAACGGAGCCTATTGTGCCACCAAGTGCTCCAGAAGCGAGGACTGCGCCTGCGGACAGCAGTGTGCCCGAGGAAAGTGCCGGAACAAGTGCGGACCTAAGCGTCAGTGTACGGTGGGTCAGCTGTGTGAGCGAGGAGCTTGCATTGCCGGATGTAAATCGAATGGAGACTGTGCCGCCGACCAGAGTTGTGTGAATGGAAAGTGCTCGGATCCTTGTGCCAATGACAAGGCCTGCGGAAGGAATGCCCTCTGCACCGTGTCCGAACACCGGATGCTCTGCTACTGCCCCGATGGCTACGAGGGTGAGCCTAGCAAGGAGTGCGTGCAGTTCGAGTGCCGTGTGGACACCGATTGCGATAGCAACAAGCGTTGCGACCAAGGCAAGTGCCGTAATCCCTGCCTGGAGTATGGAGCTTGCGGCACCAATGCCCAGTGTCGGGTGGTGGGTCGCAAGGCCCAGTGCTCCTGTCCACCGGACTTCTTTGGCAACCCGATCAGTGAGTGCCGACCCCTGGAAGGAGGTTGCTCAAGCAAACCCTGTGGGGAGAACTCCAAGTGCACTGAGGTGCCTGGAGGCTATGAGTGCGCCTGCATGGATGGCTGCATTGGAGATGCCCACCAGGGATGTCTGTGCGGTGGACCGCTGGTGAATGCCTGTCAGGATCAGCCTTGTGGCTTGAACGCCGCCTGCCATGTGCTGGACAATAACCAAGCCGAGTGCTACTGCCCGGAGGACTTCCCCAATGGAGATGCCTATGTGCAATGTAAGTGTGCTGAGCATCAGATGATATTTGATGGTTTATTAATTTTTTTTGTATATATAAAAGGTTACTTGACCCCACCAAAGCAAGATTGTCGCACCCAAGGATGTGAAGTGGGTGACTGTGTGCGCCAGGGCTACGAATATGCCTGCCAGCAGGGTAAGTTCCCAGTTTATCTTCACATTCCCAGTGTTTTAGACCATACCGTACCGTTATTGCTAATCATGTTAACCAGCGTTCTTACAAGTTATCGTTATTGTAATCAGTAAGCGTTATATCGTTGAAGTTTTTTACCCTTACCCATATAACTGGAAGTTTGTTAGTAACTGAATGAAATTGATTTTATTGTTATAATTTTCTTGGTTTAACTACATAGTTTTGAGTTATTTAAACACAAAAACTTAAACCAGCTAATTAGCTAATTCCACTAATTTAACAGCCCTCGCGGCTGATTAGAGCATTTACCCAAAACAAATCTGATTTCAGTGTAGTGTGTGTGTGTTAAAAAAAATACCAAAAGCTAATACATTTTTAATTTTTTGTTAACAACCTATACACATGTGCGAAGTTCAAGGTATTAGTCTAATATCGATATTCCCCGCACGTACAAAGAAACACGCTAAGAAACCAAAACGCCACCTACACAACCAATTCCTAACAGGCAACTGATTTGTTTTTAGACAACAGACATGCCCTTGAATATAATTCAGAGCACAGTTTTTATTATGCAATTTTGTTTTAGTTTTTATTTGAGTTTTTTTAGTTTTTAAGCACCTTATTTTACAATACACCATCAACGCATATGGAGATTCGTGGAATGTTGCTGTCGCTATCGCGGTTACCCAATCTGTGCCTACACTTCATTTTTGAAATACACACCTTTCAAAAAAAAAAAAAAAAAAAAAAAATATGCAACAAAATTAAGTTTAGTCATAAGCAAATTTAAACTATCTTACTAAAAATTACATTTACAATCAGTGCATTCCTTACAAAAACAAAAAAAGAATCTTAAGATTTGATTTTAGTTCCCATAAAGCTTGAAGCTTGCCTTCTCATTTCATTCGGCTCTCATGAAGCTCAGTTCTCATTGAATTCCTTCCTTAGTCACCATACAATTGGCTTTGAATAACCATCTGTATTGGCACTCAACTATGCGGCATCCATTACAACTTGGAAACAGTTAACGCACAGATCAGTAAACAAGTTGGTTCATCCCTATTTAACATTTAGTCTAACGACAAACGCCGCGATAGCGATATGTAGTCAGTAAAAATTGTAGCGAAAAGTAAAACTACTGGTTAATCACAGAAAGTGCGAAGAAGGCACACAAATTAGAACTAAACCGAACTTAAAAAAAAAACAACACATTATGCCACGCTTATCATATAGACAACAATCCTCAACACATCCTTGATACTGAAAACAAAAAAAAAATCGAAATCCCACCCCTGAAAATCCCATCCTTCCTTTGATTCCGCTCTGTCCACCCCTTTGAACCCCAAGTGTTATTTCCCTATCGCTCTGTCGTTTCCTTTTGCTAATACCCTTTTGTTACATTTCTTGAATGAACAAAGTCTCAGATTGGGAACTGTGGACGGGACAATTCTCACACATAGTTCACATATGCTTGAAACAATTCGAAACCAATTGAGGAACATAGTTATCAAGTTAAGATCCATTACAAATGTGTACAGAACGATTACCAAAACAAAAGCAACATCAACAGCTACTACTACTTTTCAATGCATCCTAAAGCAAGTCTACTGTATAACCGCAATAAAACCAACAGTTTATTATGTACAAAGCTCCTTTTAAAATACGTATTAAGAAAGCTCCTCCCTATCTACCACTCTCTACATAGATCGTCTATTGGTTAAAATCTATATAAACAAAAAACCCGAATTGATTTAAATTGTAACTAAATTTAACTAACATTTCAATTATTTTTTGGTACATTTGACTAGAAATTAAGTTGTATATACAGAAAATTGTACATACTGTGCATATATTTGGCCGCATCTAAGTGGCCGATCAAACTAACCACACCAAAAAAACAATCTGTAAATATAAACCAAATTTGAAAACTGTGAATTATGAATAACCCGGATGAATCAAACTAGCAACGTATATTTTAATGAACTTTTCAAAATTGTATTTACCCATCGATTTTCAACTACTATTTCTTCTATACATTCCTACTAAAGCCTCCTTCTACAAAGCTAATCTTGCTATTGCCAGACTTGTACCTACACTTCCTGCTCTTCCAATAGATATTTCTAAATCTTTCCTCTGAATCAATCACTTACTCACAAAACCAATCGCCAATAACGTGTCTCTCGTGAGGGCAGAGCGCATGTGTTGGATGTCGTGTAATTTTTGCCATTACTCAAACTGAACAAACAATAAACCAAAATATATATTAGCTCGAATTCGCATTAATCCCGAGATAATTCATTGCTCAACTAAGCCTGCCTTTAGTACAGCATCAAATTAATTGGACAAAATGGGAAAATGCTAGGCTCTCCGGCTCTATGCTCGCTCGTAAAATGGTAAATCATCAAGGATTGTAACTATACTCACTTGTTCTCACTGCTACCCCCACTCGCTCACTTGTACGCTGATCGATTGCCTCGATTGAACTCATACCAACCAATGACAAAAACCAAAAGCAGCCAATCTATTGATAAGCATTGTTTTGACCTGCCTTATAGAAAAACATAAAACCCTAGTTATTGTGAGATGTTCCCTTCACAGTTCTACAATTTGAATTAGACAAACCAATAAATAATTTATTTTTGCCACAGTTTTCTGCCTAAACTAACTGCACCAATTGACTAAAGTTAGCCAATTAAGTGAAACTGCTAAAATATTTTAATTTCTTCAGTTTTATTTTTGTTTACGTTACCTTTTGATTTCTGAACGCACCTTTTCTAGTCTTAACTCGTTGAAAATCCCCGCTGAATTTTTCTTTACTTTAACACCCCCAATGCACAAAACCCCAAACCCCAAAATCGAGTCCACAAAAAATCCCACTGACACTTAATTGAACACAGAAACCGACCCTCCGCAACATACACAACCCCCAACCCAAACACCATAAAAAACACACAAAAACACTAAAGCAAATAAAAGGCCCAAATCGAAACCAACCAACAAAAAACTGGAATATAGTTTTTATATATTTTGTCGTTTAAGTTTTCTCCTTTTGTTTTTAGAAAAAAAAAAACGTCTAGCTATAAGTTTTATCCGAGTCATCCACCCCTCTTGTTTCAAAAACTTTGTGTTTACACTGTCTAATGCATATACCCCAATTAGCCCTGCATCTTCCACCAGACTATCGTCTATCAAACTCAAGCCCCAACTTTGACTCGATGATTTCAATGTCGCACTTTCGTTTCCACGTGTTTTCATACCCCCCCCAAAAGAAAGATATATCTATTTAGTAGCGTACCGTACCGTTTATGCCACCGAATAGTTGAATGCACCCACCAACGATTAACATTTAAACAACCAAACAACTCCTGTCTATCTCTCTCTCGTTCTTCCCTGCCCTGGATGTAATTTTATAGACACCGAACAATGCTACTCAGATACGGATTGTCCCAGTGAAAAGTCATGCCTCCAAGGACACTGCAGCGATCCTTGTACAATGCGTGGCGTGTGTGGTTTGAATGCGCTCTGCAAAACCGTACTGCATCGTCCGCGCTGCTCCTGCCCCAGTTGCCACGTTGGTCGGCCGGAGGTCGAGTGCAAGCCCGATCCCAAGTGTTTGTTGGAGGACACGGATGCGAAGACCAAGGAGCAGATCCCATGCTCTAGGGACTCCGAGTGTCCGGAGACGTTGCAGTGCGGCCAGTATGGCCAATGCACAGATCCTTGCAACAACCCACTCTTCATCTGCGAGAGCAACAAGAAGTGCGAGACGCGACGCCATCAGCCGGTTTGCATCTGCAAGTCTGGCTTCATAGTGAATGAGTACGGGGAACTGACGTGTGCCCCCGATAAGCGGGAGTGCTATCGCGATGATGACTGCGCCTCGAACATGGCCTGCACCGATGGCAAGTGCCGCAATCCTTGCATCGTACCCCTGGGCCGTGCCGCAATCTGTGCGGAGAACAAGTCCTGCGAGGTGCAGAACCACAAGCCCGTTTGCATTTGTATGCGCGATTGCCAGCCATCGATATCGATTTGCCTGCGCGACGCCGGATGTCCGGCGAGCCAGGCCTGCCGGAAGCTCAAGTGCGTCGATCCGTGCGAGTTTGCCACATGCGCACCCAACTCGCCATGCATTGTCGAGGATCACAAGCCGATATGTAAATTCTGCCCAGCTGGATTTATAGCCGATGCCAAGAATGGATGTCAAAAAGGTAAAGCACCAAAAGTACTCTCTATCACTCAGCTCACTGTCGAGTGAAAGTGCCTTATGTTTCTGTCTCGAATATCTCTGTTTCCTGCTCTCTCTCACACACGCTCTCACCTTTTGCTAGCTCTGTCTTATTGTCTGTCCCCTCACGAAAAAAAAGTAAAACAGCGATAAAGCACACATGCAAATATGCCCGACGAAATATATTGACCAAAGCCGTCCACACCTGTTTAATGTTTCGGGCCTTGTCAATCTGTTTCCGCGCAGTGTTTGTGCCAATGTACATAGGTCTGAGAAATTAACCACCTGTAGCCGTATCAAGCTTTCGCCTATTGATATGGTAAACTCACCTGCCCAAAGCTTAGTTACAAGCCGAAAAGTTCAAGTCGTTGCGACTTTATAACCCCACAGTCAGATGCTTTACGCCACCAGCACAGCGACCAGGCTGAAGCACTTAAATGAAAAGAGTTGTCCAAGAATTGATCTAAAGATCGTTTAAAGCTACCAACCAAAAATACCAATAACATGAAGACACAATTACAAGAAAACTCTTCTGAACATTCACACACGCTCATGCTCACAGTGATAATAATCAATTTATTAATCAAAAGCCTCCTTATTACTTGTACTATGAAATCTTAACCTATGAATCTAAATAAACGGTAATAAGATGTAATACTAATGGTAAACCTAAACCAATCCAACACCAATATGTAGCTAACTAATAGTAAAGGCGTTCGTTTCTAATTTGATTAAATTGATTAACCGTAAAATAGTTTATAAAGCTTCCGATATTTGTTGACATTTGCAGTCGTATGCAAAAGAGTTAGATCAAAATCTCCAACAGTATTTCCTTAGGTACGCCCCTCTGTATATATAGTGCACCTTCCTTATTTTTGTAGCTTTACACTTTCTATTCTATATTTTGGTATATAATTGTAAATATTTTAACGTATTTTTTTATTTTTTAAAATCTTAACCTTTATTTTGAAATATGTACAAAATACTCCACTCGAAAACCCCCAAAATCATGTAAAAAAATCCAAACCCTGATAATTTGAAGCAGCTAAGCCAGGTGGCAACTGTACCTTAAACGATGATTGCAGTGAAGCACAACAATGTGGATCGTCGGGACAATGTATCGATTCATGTCACACCTTCTGTTCGGGCGCCGTGAAGTGTGTTGCATCACGCCATAGGGTTACCATATGCATTTGCCCAAGCACCTTGACAAATACGACGGACTCGGACTGCATTCCGACAGAAAGGACAGACGAAACTACAACCCAACAAACTGAAACGACGACGGACTCCATTAGCGTAAAATACACTATTATGCAAATGGCAAATCAAACTGAAATGCGAACACGTTTTACCGATATAGAAGCCGAAAACGAAACAACTATTTCTTACACAAGTACAACCGAATCCTACAAGACTACAAAACAACTGTCGATTGACACTAGTTCCACTCATCCAGAAAGTGACACTTTGAATAAAACTACTCTTAGTACAGAATCACTAGCATCTACCGTCCCATCAATCATCCACGAAATCACCACAAATATTCCGATAGATACAACACGAGGGCAATATTCTAGCGAAGTGACTACCCCACAGGTAATTGAAGGAACTACTGTTCCTCTACGGACAACGGATAGGATTGTTCCGTCCGAAGGTCCCGGAACACCAACGACTTTCCCTCCTGGTACAACACCAGGAATAGTTACTGAACAAACGACTGAATCTACTAGGACGGTACCCACAAATTCTTATGATAACTCTTCTCTTAGTCCAGCATCATTAGAAACCACCGTCCCATCAATCACCGCCCAAACAACCACAAACATTCCGATCGGTACAACACGAGGACAAGTCACAGATCGGACGACCCAATATACTAGCGAAGTGACAACCGCAAAGGTCATTGAAAGAACTACTCTTCCTGAAGGGTACACGGATAGAAGTATTCCTTCTGAAAGTCCCGAAACACCCCCGACTTTCCCTCCAGGTACAACACCAGGACAAATGACTGAACAAACTACGGAATCTATTAGGAACGTACCAACGAGTTCTTACGATAGCTCGACTCTCAGTCCAGCGTCATTAGAAACCACCGTCCCATCAATCACCGCCCAAACCACCACAAACATTTCGATCGGTACAACACGTGGGCAAGTCACAGATCAGACAACTCAATATCCCAGCAAAATAACAACCGCAAAGGCCATTGAAGGTACTACTCTTCCTGAAGGGACAACGGATAGAAGTTTTCCATCCGAAAGTCCCGAAACACCCACGACTTTCTCTCCAAGTACAACACCAGGACAAATGACTGAACAAACTACGGAATCTACTAGAAAAGTACCAACGAGTTCTTACGATAGCTCGACTCTTAGTCCAGCATCATTAGAAACCACCGTACCATCAATCACCGCCCAAACCACCACAAACATTCCGATCGGTACAACACGCGGGCAAGTCACAGATCAGACAACTCAATATCCCGACAAGGTGACAACCGCAAAGGACATTGAAGGTACTACTCTTCCTGAAGGGACAACGGATAGAAGTTTCCCTTCCGAAAGTCCCGAAACACTTACGACTTTCTCTCCAGGTACAACACCAGGACAAATGACTGAACAAACTACGGAATCTACTAAGAAAGTACCAACGAGTTCTTACGATAGCTCGACTCTTAGTCCAGCATCATTAAAAACCACAGTACCATTAATCACCGCCCAAACCACCACAAACATTCCAAACGGTACAACACGAGGCCAAGTCACAGATCGGACGACCCAATATACTGGCGAAGTGACAACCGCAAAGGACATTGAAGGTACTACTCTTCCTGTAGGGACAACGGATAAAAGTTTTCCTTCCGAAAGTCCCGAAACTCCCACGACTTTCTCTCCAGGTACAACACCAGGACAAATGGCTGAACAAACTACGGAATCTACTAAGAAAGTACCAACGAGTTCTTACGATAGCTCGACTCTTAGTCCAGCATCATTAGAAACCACCGTCCCATCAATCACAGCCCAAACCACCACCAACATTCCGATCGGTACAACACGCGGGCAAGTCACAGATCAGACAACTCAATATCCCGACAAGGTGACAACCGCAAAGGCCATTGAAGGTACTACTCTTCCTGAAGGGACAACGGATAGAAGTTTTCCTTCCGAAAGTCCCGAAACTCCCACGACTTTCTCTCCAGGTACAACACCAGGACAAATGACTGAACAAACTACGGAATCTACTAGGAAAGTACCAACGAGTTCTTACGATAGCTCGACTCTTAGTCCAGCATCATTAGAAACCACCGTCCCATCAATCACCGCCCAAACCACCACAAACATTCCAATCGGTACAACACGAGGCCAAGTCACAGATCGGACGACCCAATATACTGGCGAAGTGACAACCGCAACGGCCAATGAAGGAACTACTCTTCCTGTAGGGACAACGGATAGAAGTTTTCCTTCCGAAAGTCCCGAAACACCCACGACTTTCTCTCCAGGTACAACACCAGGAGAAATGACTGAACAAACTACGGAATCTACTAGGAAAGTACCAACGAGTTCTTACGATAGCTCGACTCTTAGTCCAGCATCATTAGAAACCACCGTCCCATCAATCACCGCCCAAACCACCCCAAACATTCCGATCGGTACAACACGCGGGCAAGTCACAGATCAGACACCTAAATATCCCAGCAAAGTGACAACCGCAAAGGCCATTGAAGGTACTACTCTTCCTGTAGGGACAACGGATAGAAGTTTTCTTTCCGAAAGTTCCGAAACACCCACGACTTTCTCTCCAGGTACAACACCAGGAGAAATGACTGAACAAACTACGGAACCTATAAGGAAAGTACCAACGAGTTCTTACGATAGCTCGACTCTTAGTCCAGCGTCATTAGAAACCACCGTCCCATCAATCACCGCCCAAACCACCACAAACATTTCGATCGGTACAACACGCGGGCAAGTCACAGATCAGACAACTAAATATCCCAGCAAAGTGACAACCGCAAAGGCCATAGAAGGTACTACTCTTCCTGTAGGGACAACGGATAGAAGTTTTCTTTCCGAAAGTTCCGAAACACCCACGACTTTCTCTCCAGGTACAACACCAGGAGAAATGACTGAACAAACTACGGAATCTACTAGGAAAGTACCAACGAGTTCGACTCTTAGTCCAGCATCATTAGAAACCACCGTCCCATCAATCACCGCCCAAACCACCCCAAACATTACGATCGGTACAACACGCGGGGAAGTCACAGATCAGACAACTAAATATCCCAGCAAAGTGACAACCGCAAAGGCCATTGAAGGTACTACTCTTTTTGAAGGGACAACGGATAGAAGTTTTCCTTCCGAAAGTCCCGAAACACCCACGCCTTTCTATCCAGGTACAACACCAGGACAAATGACTGAACAAACTACGGAATCTATTAGGAAAGTACCAACGAGTTCTTACCACAGCTCCACTCTTAGTCCAGCATCATTAGAAACCACCGTCCCATCAATCACCGCCCAAGCCACCACAAGCTTTACGATCGGTACAACACGCGGGCAAGTCACAGATCAGACAACTCAATATCCCGGCAAGGTGACAACCGCAAAGGCCATTGAAGGTACTACTCTTCCTGAAGGGAAAACGGATAGAAGTTTTCCTTCCGAAACTCCCGAAACACCCACGACTTTCTCTCCAGGTACAACACCAGGACAAATGACTGAACAAACTACAGAATCTACTAGGAAAGTACCAACGAGTTCTTACGATAGCTCGACTCTTAGTCCAGCATCATTAGAAACCACCGTCCCATCAATCACCGCCCAAACCACCACAAACATTCCAATCGGTACAACACGAGGCCAAGTCACAGATCGGACGACCCAATATACTGGCGAAGTGACAACCGCAATAGCCATTGAAGGAACTACTCTTCCTGTAGGAACAACGGATAGGAGTTTTCCTTCCGAAAGTCCA